TTCGGGGATACTCGGGGGCCTGGGGATCTGGCGGCCGCGGTATGCAGAGGGGCGCGAGGCGGGACTCTCGGGGTTACTCGGGAACCTGGGGATCTGGCGGCCGTGGTATGCAGAGGGGCGCGAGGCGGGACTCTCGGAGATATTCGGGAGCCTGGGGATCTGGCGGCCGCGGCATGCAGGGTGGACAAGTCGGGAAGCCTGTTCTTAAAATCTAACGACGCCACCCTTCGGGCGGGGAGTAACAATATGCATTCACGTATTGCTCATTCTCTACCTTCGAATGTCAGACAGTTTCTGACTCCTGTCCACGGATCGCCCATAAGACCCCAAGAGGGGCCCCTGGAGGCTCCACTACGGCTCCAAAGGCGCCCACGAACGCCTTCTAATAAGAGCATCCGGAAACTATGTTTCGAGGTCTAGACGGGCAGGCATAAATGTTTGTTGTGCCCCCTCCATCTTTACTCGATGGCCTCCAGGGCTGCACCAAGGGGGCGCACGGAGACGCCACCGATAACCCGGCAAGAGCTCGGCAAGAGGGCCCACGCATTGCTGCAGGAGGCATCCCACAAGCTCCCAGAGAACAAGGCCCACGAAGGCCGTAAGGGACGACGACGCCATTCGTCCTCATATATTGCTCTTCGTAATGCCGCCTCCTTCGGACGAGCCACGACCGCATGGTGTTGTCGGGTTGATCGTCGTCCTCCTGCTCCAACAACCCCCTCTGCTGGAGGAGCGGCGGTCAGTCCCCCGACGCCTCTTTTGGTGGGCCGGCGCGCTGCTCCCTCGCCCTCGCCCTCGCCCCACAAGGATCTCTCTCTGTGTGGCAGAGTGCGCATCGATTCCTTGCGTAGCGGAGTAGGAAAGAATTCTGTTTGTGGCAGAGTACGACGGGATTCCATGTGTGGCGGGATACATAAGAATTTCCTTTTGTGGCTGAGCACAAGAGACTTATTCTGTGGCGGAATGCAAAGGATTCCTTCTGTGGCGGATTCAAGAGGATGTCTTGTTTCGGCGGATGATAATAGGGGTCCATTCGTGTTGGAATACACAAAGATTCGCTTCGTGGCGGAATACGTAAGGATTCATCTTGTGCTGGAGTGAAAGAGATCGCTTTTGTGAATCACATCTACTTGAAAGTCTATGAATATGGTTTGTATTCATATATGCAGACAGACAGACAGACAAAAAAGACAGACAGGCAGACAGCGAGAGAGGGGAACAGACAGGCGGATATAAAAAACTACAGGGTGGAGTCTCTTTCGAGGGTCCATCTATTATATATGTGTATATGTAGACATGTGCGTGTAAACATGTATTTATAAAGCATGCACATACACGTGCACTATGATCTGTGTTTGTGTATATATATATACACACTCACCCGCTAATACTGATAGAATGCGACAACACATATGTAAACAATTCTGGATACTTCACAAACAGACCCGCTAATGAGGCATGGTATGTCCATGTTGATTTCAAATGTTCGCGATCGCCTGTCACCCTATCCGAAGTCATCCTAGCCACCTGCTCCCGCAGTCATCGTAGTCATCCTGATCATCCTTGCCCTCGTCCTTGGCCCGAGCGAGACAAGAACGCAGATGCGACCTCGTTCAGGAATGGCCAATTTCCATCTGCGTCTGCAGCCAACCGCCTGCCCCCAGATCCACTGGAGAAGCCCGTGCAGTGGCACAAACAATCTCAGCAATGCCAGCAACGTCCATGCTAATGTAGACGTGTCTCGGTTAGGCGACACGCAGAAATCTAGGAGCACGCGCTGCAACGTCGACAAACACTGCCACACCAGCAGCCGAGCACGCCGAACACATATACACACGTACAGAGGTGGCGTCGGCAGCCACAAGTTCAACGAAACTATGATTGGCATGAGCAACAGCAGCGACAACAGCCCGGAATGAAGGCGTTGCCGACCACGTCACGGAGAACATCGTGAGCCCGTCTGCGGCAAACGTCGGCGTGCCCGAGCACAGGCGGCCCCTCCCCGTCTTCTTAAGGAGGCCTGCCAGAAGGGGCCCGAGCAGACAGGGGTCGGAGGATCGCGCCGCATCGCCAACGCATCGCCGATTCATCGCCGATGCGTCGGCGCCACCTGCGGAAAGAAACGCTGGCTCCACACCGAGCCGCATCGCCGACGCATCATCGCCGATGCGGAGTGGCCCTTCGACCCCATCCGCTCGGGCCCCAGCTGGGAGGCCCAGCTCTCCACACCGCAGCGGCGGCGGACGCCACGGCCGGGCGGCGACGGCGGCCCCCGCGCCCTCCTGGGGCCCACGGCCCCCTGCGCGGCGGCGGCCGCGGTGGCCGCGGGCGCGGGGGCTGGCTTGGCGGAGACCGCCTGGCCGGGGGGCAGGGCACATCTTTGAAATCACGCGGCCAGGACCGGGACGGCTCGAGGATCTCTGAGGTCCAGCGGTCCTGGAGGGCGTGCCGGGCGCCACGGCCGTTCCAGAGCGCTCCAGAGACGCTCGGGGGGCGTCCCCGACCGCTGTGGAACGAGACAGTCCCGGTCCCAGCCCCGCCCCGTTTCTGTTGAAGGGGCCCTGGGTTACACGCACATAAATAGACACATGTCCCAGCATTCCCCACGTTCTGCCATAGTCTCCGGAGTTCCGTCGTCCCCCCCACGTCCCATGTTTGCCAGTACTTTCCTGTGGATGGACGCTTCTTCGTGTCTGTCGGTGTTTTTTCCCCTCCTGATCTGGGGAGCATGGATCATGGACCGGCGTTGGCCGGAGGCCCCGGGTCAGGAGAGGGAGCTGGCGAGGCACCACCGAACCATGCGGCGCGCCGTGCGCAGCGAGGGCGGTCTCCGCGGCGCAGGCGGAGCGCCGCGTCTGCCCACTCGTCGCGGATGCCACACTTTGCCCTGCGGGCCCAATGATAAACCACATAAAGGACCCCTAACCCCTTGGGAGGGGACCTAAGTTGGGATGGCCACAGACATGAGGGATAGGGGGTCTTCTTGCAGATGTATCAGACCTCAACGCCAGGAGCTATGATTCCTAATGCGAAGGTGGGGACCGGATTGAGGCCACGTCTTCATCGTGCTATCAGGTTTAGGGGTTTTGTTGGTTATGCAGCCTCGAGGCTCCAGACGCAGGACGTGGCGAGACCCTCCCTGCAGGATCGGGAAGGAAGAGGGGCGCTGGACGGCGAGCAGAAGGAGGGCAAAGGATTGGGAAGAGGGAGGGGGCAGGATCGGGAAGAGGAGGGTGATCGGGTGTGGGGGGAGGGGGCGAGGGGAGGGAGGGAGGATCAGGGGGAAGGACAGGGTAGGATCGGGAAGGCATGGGTCTTCGCCCAGAAAGACAAGATCCGTCGGCATCGCATCGGCAAACCGAATCGACGCGGAATCTGCGTCGGATCGGGCAGCACCGGCACGACGGAGTCGAACTCGGTTCGGAGCGGCCGCGCCAGGACCCACAGCAGCGACATGCGAGCATCGGGCCGCATCTGATCGTCAACAGATCTGGAACGAATCGGATCGGGCCGGTCGGAATGGATATCAAATCGGACCGAATGGATTGACCCTGCCCCCATGACGTTTGCCGACGTCACTCCCTGGCTCGACAGGGGATCCAGTCCGCCACTGCGCGTTGCAGTGGTCAACGCGCGTCAGGTCGTGTGCTGTCATTGCCTCCATAAGACGAGCGCGTTCCACTACCCGCAGAGCAGCTGCTCGCAAATGGCCTGGATCCGCCGCGGGGGATCTACGAGAAGTTACACCGAAGCAGACATGCGTTCTTCGCGCACTTGCGAGCAGGCACTTTGCGAGCAGTGGAACGCGCTCGGTGACTTCTTGCCCGCGGAAGACAACTGTCGGGCCCGGCAGACGGGGCGAGCCTCGCAAGCCATCACGGTGGGACCAAGCCCCTGAACGTTTTGCCTCCTCCTCCTCCTCCTCCTCCTCCTCCTCTTCTCCTCCTCCTCCTACTCCTCCTCCTCCTCCTCCTCCTCCTGCTCCTGCCCCTCCTCCTCCTCCTCCTCCTCCCTCCTTTTCCTCCTCCTCTTCCTCCTCCTCCTCCTCCTTCTCCTCCTCCTCCCCCTTCCCCTCCCCCTCCCCCGCATTGTTCGCCACTCGAATCTCTGCCACAGTCAGAGATTCGAGTGAAGAGTTCCATGGGCTCTGCGGCAAGAGCGTGACATGTCGACTTGGGCATACTGTTCTCTGACATCGGGGGGGTCGTTCGGACTTGAACATGCGCGGCCGTTCGATCGCGCACATCGATCAATATCGGCTTGTTCTGGGCCATGGGGGACGTACACTGAACGCCTGCACTGGGGTTGCAACCTCGTGGACGCGACACGAACCTACTCCAAATCCCTTGTTTATAGACCCCCCCTAAAAACCGGACCCCCCTCCAAATGTGACCTGATATTCCGGACCCCCCTCTTCGACGGGGAGCCAAAATAAACCGGACCCCTAAAGCTCCAATCCAAAGAAAACGCCCTAATGAACCGGACCCCCCAGCTACAAAAAAGGCGCCTCAAAAAACCGGACCCGGGGGACGACTAATGAGGATGTTGGGGTACCGTACCCCCCAGGCGCACCCCGCGCACCCCCAGGCCAGCCCCCAGGCGCACGCATAAGGCGCGTTGGCGGATTCGCGCGGCAGCGCAATTGGATACTTGAAGATGCTGCTACCGCTGCGGCTTGGATGCGTTATCTGAGCATTTTCTTTGCTTTGGGTGGAGGGCTCAGGGTGAAATCCATATGGGCTTTTGCACCTCGAAAACCAATCCGTCTTGTGATTCACCTTTTGCAGATTCAGGCCGCGAACATCCATCGAAACGGCATGTCAGATTTCACCCTTTGCCCTCCACCCAAAGAAAATGCTCGGGTTATGTATGACTGACTTCCATTTAGTTTTCCTCAAAGGCCCGGAAAGCAGGGAGCAACGCTGAGCTTCGTCACTGCGTGTGTCACTATCGCCTCTAGGAGCGATCAGGTCATCATGCGCCCACGTGCTTCAGACCGCTCAGCTCGAACATCGCCGCGAACAGATCTTGCTCGTTCGGGAGCCCGAAACTGCCATCCTTGGCAATCTGCTTCTTGCGCTGGAACGTTCCAGAATTCCACTCCTTCCACTTGTGCGTCTTGCCCTTACGTCGGCGACCCCGAGGGGTGTGGTTCGCCAAGGGTGTGGTTTGCAATCGGCATCCCGAGGGGCACCCTCGGGGGCTGGCGGGGACCTCGACGGAGCTCCCCGCCGCGCCGCGAGGGGGCCCGACGAGGACGCTGTCGTGCCCACGGGCCCCCAACGGTGCCGAATCGCAAGCCACACCCTGGCGTAACCGCACCCTTTGCAGTCGCCGAGTATGGTCTGTCCGGAAAGAGTTGGCGCGCCACTCCTCCGCGCTCGTGGCCTGCTTGCGCGATGCCAGACTGCCATCGGCTCTGTCCGCGCACGAGCCTCCCGAGAACAGCCTCTCGGCCTCGGCCTGCAGCACCACCTCCGGCCCCGAGCGCGCCGAACTGCCGCTGCTCCCCGGCGCGGAGAGCCGGCAGCAGCTCGTGCACTGGCTGCGCACCTCGGCCTGGCCGACAGCATACAGTGATGCCGCGAACTCTACGGTGAGCAACTGGTACTTGCGCGGGTTCTGCCTCTCGCACCGCTGGCACAGGCGTGGCAACTCGCCCGTCGTGCCCGCCCCACCTCTTGCACCAGAAACGCCGGCGATGCCAAAAACGAATGGCGTGGGCTGCTGGCACTCGACGCAGCACTTTGTCCGGTCCCAGTCCGCAGCATCCCCCGGTGAAGAACGACCGACGGTCGCAAGCACACTCTGCGTCGTGTCTGGAGCATCGTGCCCCGCACCGGGATCTGGTGCAGGAAGCCCCTCTTTTGCCCACGTCGCTAGCGCCGCCTCGATCATCTCGGCCGCGTCGCTCGGATCCCCGGGACTGCCCGTCGTGTTCGACTCGCCACTGTTCCTCCTCTTCTTCTCCCTCGAAGTCGAGCCGCTGCTTCTCTTGCCCGCTCGGCTGGCGCCATCTGCAGCTATGAGACAGTCGCGGATCTCTCTTCTGACGTGCTCGGGGTCGCGCTGATAGAGAGCCACAAGGGCCACAAGACTCTCCGCAGATGGAAGAACAAAAAAGAACGTAAACTTCATATGTCGGATGTCCTCGCGGACTTTTTGGATCTGTGCCGGATCCCACCCCCCTAGCGCGTGAAGCGCACCAGGGGCGGCGCTGGAGGCGCCGGCGGAGTGAAGTCTGGCGCCGATCCAAGAAATTCGGGCGGATCTCCGAAAGCTCATGTTTATGTGGTTGTTTGTTCTTCTGGACGGCTCGTCACGATCGATTGCCAAAGCCGCCGCGAACCGCCGCAGCTGCCGGCGCGAAGCGCCGTACGGGGCCAAAGCAGTCTCGAGATCCATTTTGTGGCGCAGACTTGCTATGATACCAAAATCATCTTGGCCTGGGCCGCCTGACGCACAGACCCAGAAACAGCACGCAGGTGCTAACTTATTTGGGACCCGCCGGGCACTTGAGACTTTTGGAGCAAAATCAGCGGCTCTCCATTGCATCCATTACAAGAAAATCTAAAGTTCTCGTACCCGCGTGCCCCACAAAACCCTGCAAGGGCTTCGGGGCGCCCGAGCCCAGAAAGTTTCCAATGGAAGGACAAATTGTTTGATGGCATGTAGTCTCACCCGTGGGGTGGATACCAAATTATACCCACCGGCTGGAAATGGCTGTGCGCCTGCGATGCTCGAGAGGAATTGGCTACAGAATTTAATTGCACGCCTTCCTGGCGCCCTCCCACGCTTCTCCCTGGACGGCAGAGGGCCCTGCATAGGGCTTCCAAGACAGCTAGAGCCTCGAACGAGAACCCCTTCGGCTACACGCAAGAGTGACCCTAGGCAAGAGTGAGCTTTAGTGCGCGGACTGAGGGGGCGCAAGGTGGCCAAATCCAAGCACGCAAACAGCCACTATCGCATGGCGCTCAGCGATCGGGGGGACCCCAATGAGCCCGCACCGAAGGTCACTCCGGCGAAGGGTCACTCTTTCGTGTAGTCGACCTCGTGCTGCCCACAAGACCATGTTCAACGATCGGTGCTACCTCAGGTCCGCGCGGTGCCTAACTCCGCTGGGCCCACCAGCAGCCCTCGGAAGTGGCGACAGTTTCGCAGATCGCAGCCCCGCAGGGACGGCGAGGTCTACCTCAGGTCCGCGCGGTGCCTCACTCCGCTGGGCCCACCAGCAGCCCTCGGAAGTGGCGACAGTTTCGCAGATCGCAGCCCCCGGTGCCTCACTCCGCTGGACCCACCAGCAGCCCTCGGAAGTGGCGATCGTTTCGCAGATCGCAGCCCCCCAGGAGGTCTACCTCAGGTCCGCGCGGTGCCTCACTCCGCTGGACCCACCAGCAGCCCTCGGAAGTGGCGATCGTTTCGCAGATCTCAGCCCCCCAGGAGGTCTACCTCAGGTCCGCGCGGTGCCTCACTCCGCTGGACCCACCAGCAGCCCTCGAAAGTGGCGACCCTTTCGCAGATCGCAGCCCCTCATCGACGGCGAAGAGAGAGCAGGCGGAGGCGGGTGGCGGGAGGAGAAGGAGGGAGACGCGACCGCGGTGCTCTATTCAAAACGAATGCCCAACCAAGGAGGGTTGGGAAACAAATCCACGAACATGCTTGAAAATAGTCAGGCATAATCGAAAACTCGTCCCCATACTATTTTTCTGCGTATGTTTGAAGATTCTTCCTGTGAAGGGACATGCCCGACTTAAGGCTTCCGGGACAAAACTCAAGTCTCCAGCGGCCCTTCGAGACGACCGGGGGACGACCGGATAGCTCCCGACGAGGCGTAAGAGCTGCAAGAGCATCCGAGGCGAGAGAACCTCCAGGAACCAACAGCAACGTTCTCCACCTTCCCCCTCCGACGATGATGCACCCCACCCAAGTCCTCAACCTTCCCCCTCCGACGATGATGCACCCCACCCAAATCCTCACCCCCCTCTTGGTCGCCCCGGAACCATTCTGGCAGAATCGACAGCGGGCCCGTCCCAGATGCGGCGGCAAGTGATGCAGCCTGCGACGAAGCCTGAGGTCAGGCCGCTGCCAAGAGGGGCGCTGAATACGGAACCAAGCCCCTGTTGTGTCCCAAAGCGCCTCTGTGTGCGAGGACCACTTGAAAACAGACATGGAAGTTCGGGTAAGGATCGGCTAAAGACATCAAAATCGCAACGACCACTAAGCTGGCAGTAACGACATGCTTCTGGAGCCCCTGCGCAGGCGCAAGCCTATCAGCATCCCAGAGCAGTGCCTGTGCCAGGGATCCAGCGAGGAGCCATGGATGGGCCTCGGAAGCAGCGAGCACCTTGCAAACACTTCTGCTATCCATTTCGGCGTCTTGGCTGTATGACGCAAAAGCCCACGGCGCAACCTGTGGCGCAGCCCACAGCGCGACCGACGGCGCAGCCTGCGGCGCGACTGCAGCGAAGTCTGGAAAGGAAGGAGCCCTGGGACACAGACACACACACACACACAGACACAGAGAGAGAGAGAGAGAGAGAAATAGACACAAATCCCAAGATGCCCTATATTTCCACATATTTTCTGCGTTTTCGTCTCCCCCCCACACACTTCCCATATTTTCCCATACTTTTCCAGGGAATCGACGATTCACTGTGTCTGTGTGTGTTTCTCTCCTCTTGTTATGGTCCAACATCTGGCGCAAGCTCCAATCCCGGAAGAGAATGGCGGGATCCGTCAGCGCCGACTCGGGAAATGAAGAGCAGGAGAGGAGGAGGAGGAGGAGGAGGAGGAGGAGGAGAAGCAGCAGCAGGAGGAGGAGGAAGAGGAGCAGGAGGAAGAAGAGGGATAACAATAATACGAGCAATAATCATACGAATGCGAAAAGTAAATATACGAATAATACGAATACGACTACTAGTAATACTGCGAGTACTACATACAAGTAATGCTGCGAGCAAGAATTCGAATACGAAATAATACGAATAGTAATATGCCGAGTGGTGACCGTAAAGGATACTCACAAGGAGAACAAAGACAATACGAACACTAATCAGACATATACTAATACGATTAAGAAGAAGTGGAGCCGCAATCGGAGCGGATCTGCCACGCCAGGACGCACAGGCAACGCCATGCAGGCAACGGGCCTCATCGGACCGTCGACATCCGGACATCGAGTCGTATCGGGCCCGCCGAGCTCGACAGAACGACGATCAAAAATGGGCCTTGCGCGAGAGGACGCAGCGAACTTGCGCCGCGAGCTTGCGCGGGCCGCCGGCGCGACGCGCCACATTGGAGACGAGGGCGCCTACGCACGAACTTACGCGGGCAGCTTACGCGCCAATGTCGGCGCCGACGACCCCGTTTTTTTTTTTGCGTCGCTCACATGTCGCCTCATGTCGGGCATGTCCCAATACAGGCCGACTTTGGAAGAAATATCAAGATTAGTCCAACAATATTCAAAATCGTCCCAAGACTATGTGTGGACTATTCTTGCATATTCCTCCTCTAGAGGGACAGGCCCGATTTCAAGGTCGCCGCGCCGTTCGTTGTCGACGCGCCCAGCTGCACGACGCTGGCACCGCGGCAGACCCACGGCAGACGCGGCGCCCGGCGCTGGCGCCGCGGCAGGCCCACTCCGTCGAAGGCGGCGCTTGCCTGGGCGCCCCGCGGCGCCCTCCCCGAGACGCGAGGCCGCGCGCCAGCACAAGTGGCGCGGCGACCCGACCCATCGAAGCGGATCGGTCTTGGGACGCCGCGTATTGCCCAGGAGGCCGGCGCCCTCCCGCCGACCCCCCGAACGGGGGGGGCTCGTGGAGACGTCCCGGGGTGGCCCAGGGCCTCCTTGGAGACCAGGGTGAGGGAGGAGGACGAGGAGGAGGAGGAGGAGGAGGAGGAGGAGCAGGAGGAGGAGGAGGATGAGGATGAGGAGGAGGAGGGGAGGAGGAGGAGGAGGAGGAGGAGGACCAGGGAGGAGGAGAAGGAAGAGGAGGAGGAGGGAGGAGGAGGAGAGGAGGAGAAGGAGGAGGGGAGGAGGAGGAGGAGGAGGAGGAGGAGGGGAGGAGGAGGGCGGAGGAGGAGGGGGAGAGGAGGACCAGGGAGGAGGAGAAGGAAGAGGAGGAGGAGGAGGGAGGAGGAGGACCAGGGAGGAGGAGGAGGCGGAGGAGGAGCATTGAGAAGGAGGAGCGGCGTGGCCTCGCATGGTGGAGGCGGGCGGCCGCCCTGCCTGTCGTGGGCTCCTCCGGGGCGGGGCGCGCGATCCTGCGTCCCTCGGAGGCGCTGCCAGGCCCTGCGCGGGTCGGACGGCGGCTCGAGCCGTCTGCCCCAAGAGGCCCCCAGGAGGAGGCCCCCAGGAGGCGCCCAGGAGGCGCCCAAGACCCCACGAGGCCCCAAACCGGACCCGAAGAGGCTTCAAAACTTCCTCCGAGAGGCCCCCGAAAGGCCCCCCACGAGATCCCAACGAACATCCAATAGGCTCATACCCACAACCCAAGCACGGTGGCGGGACTTGCCGTAGTCAGCTGGATCTGACGGCGGCTCGGGGCGAAACGGGAGAGGGGGAGAGGAGGGGTCTCAGTGTGGACGAGGAGGTGGTAGAAAGGAGCAGGGCGCTGCATCACAATCATGCTTCTCGGAGGCTCGCGACCGATTTTTGTTTCCCAACGGGGGCGTCCTGCGCGCAGGGGCAGCGACGCGGCCGCTGCCGTGGCCGCGACGAGGAGGATGAGGAGGAGGATGAGGAGGAGCAGGAGGAGGAGAAGGAGGAGGAGGAGCAGGAGGAGGAGGGTCAGAAGGAGAAGGAGGAGGAGGAGGAGGAGGAGGAGGAGGAGGAGGAGGAGGAGGAGGAGGTGGAAGAGGAGCAGGAGGAGAGGAGGAGGAGGAGGAGGAGGAGGAGG